TACACACACACACACACACACACGTACACACACACACACACACACTAATTGAGCTCTGTTCACTGGTGAAATGACGTCAGACTCACAATGGGCAGATCAACAGCAAATTATTTCTACAGAAACAAATACAGCCCAGAATACAGGGAAGTAGAAATCATTTGAAATGTCAAATTGTCAAAGTGATGGATTTTAAAGAAAGCACTGCAAAACGAGGTGTAGCATTGATTTTTTTTTGCCCAGCCTGTAGTGACCTCTCAGCAAATGTGACCCTTCAGGTTCAGTTGCAGTTCTGCTTCAAAACGAGTCTTGCTCTTTTAACCTGCAAACATGAATTATTACATTTACATGCATCCCAAGACCCTAAAGAGGATAATCGGTTTGAAGAATGGATGGATGGAAGGATTTACATTTATGTATTTAGCAGATGCTTTTATTCTATTTCTGAAGCAACCTAAAATCATCCAGGTTTATTAGAAAGCTAGGTTAGGAAGTCAGCTAGAGCAGAGGAGAAATGCAAAGAACAGGAAGATTTTTATTTTTCTTATTATTATTAGAAATCTTTTTTTTTTCTGATGTGAAAGAATTTAGTGTTGCTTGTTTCTTGTTGGTTTTAATGTTATTATTGTACTTTATATCTTGTTTTGCTCAAAATGAGATATCTTACATAATTTTAAGTGTATAAATTAATTCAATAAATTAGTGGCAGCTTATTTGGAAATTTACTGTTAAATAATTTAATTTAAAATATAAGTATAGGCCAATGCAGATGGTCATGAATCGCTGAAGATTTGTGATCCTGTGCTGCCTCCTAGTGGTGGGACTGTGAAAGAACATCAAATACATAGAAATAGAAATAAATCATAGAAATAGAATTATGCATTATGTATTCCTGTTGCTCAGCTAATTCGGTTTTATTTTTTTAAATGGAATTACTTCAAGTGACCATATTTATTCATCGTTAAATTACTGTAATTAAAATAATTTTTAATTATTGTTTGGTCATTATAAACATATTTTTTAAAATGTATTAATAATATTAGCAAACCATTAAATTTGTTTTTTTCAGTTATCAAACTCAACCTATATAATTGTGAATATTATTATAATTATTCCAGCTAAAATGTTCCCAAATAAAAGTTTGGGATCTGTAATGTGTTAAAGACTTGTAATGCGTTTTAAGTCTCTTCTGTCTGCTCATCAAGGCTGCATTTATTTGATCAGAAATACAGAAAAAAACTGTAATATTGTGAAAAATTATTATAATGTAAAACAGCTGTTTTCTATGTGAATATCTTTTAAAGAAGTCTCTTCTGTTCATCAAGGCTGCATTTATTTGATCAGAAATACAGAAAAAAACTGTAATATTGTGAAAAATTATTATAATGTAAAACAGCTGTTTTCTATGTGAATATCTGTTAAACTGTAATTTATTTCTGTGATCAAAGCTGTATTTTCAGCATCATATTTCTATTTAAATTCAGCGCTGCATCACAGAAATAAATTAGATTTTAAAGTATATTACAATAGAAAACCATTATTTTAAAATGCAATAATATTTCACAATATTCCAGTTTTTTCTGTATTTCTGATCAAATAAATGCAGCCTTGATGAACAGAAGAGACTTCTTTAAACACATTACAAATCTTACTGACCCCAAACGTTTGAACAGCAGTGTGCTGTATATGTATTGTTTTCTTTTGAAAGTCAGAGATTAAACTGAAGCTTCAGTTTTACACGATATACAGTTGCTATAGTAACTGTTACTACAATAAACCCATCGTGTGTTTACACAGCACTGGATCTTTAAACACTGTAAGGCAAGTCCTTGAAAGCTGGTTTATATTTGTATGTAGGCTATTCATATTCATATATAATGTTTCAAGTTTTGCTATCCTTGTGGGGATGTTTATTCGTTTATGTAATTCTTTGATAGATAGATAGATAGATAGATAGATAGATTTGTCTTCTGTCCCCTTTAAGTCAATACTGCTGTCTTTCTGACATTCTGCAGCACTGCTGCTTTGCTTTATGACACGCTTCTGATGGGGGCGGGGCCACCTTGAAGCCAACCAATCACAGCCGCGGATACAAACGCTGCCGCCTCTGACTGGTCTGCGCGGCTGTCAATCACAGGCTGAGAGCGCTGTCCTCCAGAACGCACTTTATTCCGAGAGAGACGCGGATCCGTCATGCAGCTCTGATGGGTGAGTTTAGCACGATTAACTTCATATAACACACGATTATTAAAATCAAAGAGCATGCAAATGCATTGGCCATAATCATATTTTAGCAACATTAAATGTGTACTGTGTGTAAATGTGCAGTGAATGTTTAAAGCATCAATGATGCAGCAGTGCAAAAATAACTTTCTGCATAATAAATGATGCTCGGTATAGTGCAGGTTATTCACTGCCACAGTGCAATGCACCTCTTTTATAATATAATGCACCAATATAAGATGCTGATTTGTTTGGGTTTGATAACTGCTGAACTGTCATGTCATGTTTTAAAGGGACATTCACTGCAGCTTCTGTATGAGCTCAGTTCATTTTAAAGTGTCATTATTTTGTGTGTGTGTGTGTGTGATGGTTGATTATTATGAGGCTCATGATGAAGGGTGCTTTACTCACTCAACTGCTTATTTAAATAATTATGCATACAGTTCAAAGGTTTTAGCAGAATAAAACGTACCGAATGACATTATCAATAGACCCACTGTTAGTCGTGCATTCATGGATATTTTTGCCAAAGCATCTCCACAGTTTATTTTCTGGCCTGTAAAAATGTCTGGCAAAGATTCGCAAGACCCCAGCTATGATGCATGGAATATTACAAGATAATTCTGTTGATTATAGCAATACATGCTTTTAAAAGTTACTTTTAATTCTGTACTCTGAAAAAAAAATAGGTGTAGAATTCATTTTCACTCAGAAATGGCTAGTAAATTTCACAAAGAATCAGCAATTAACACATATAATTAAACATGAAGTACAAAGACTAAAATAGTATTTTCTTATAAAATGTGTCCCTGCAGCACAAAAGCAGTGTTAAGTCGCTGGGGTATATTTGTAGCAATAGCCAACAATACATTGTATGGGTCAAAATTATACATTTTTCTTTTATGTCAAAAATCATTAGGATATTAAGTAAAGATCATGTTCCATGAAGATATTTAGTAAGTTTCCTACCGTAAATATATCAAAACTTAATTTTTGATTAGTAATATGCATTGCTAAGAACTTCATTTGAACAACTTTAAAGATGATTTTCTCAATATTTAGATGTTTTTGCACCCTCAGATTCCAGATTGTCAAATAGTTGTGTCTCAGCCAAATATTGTCCTATCGTAACAAACCATACATCAATGGAAATATTATTTATTCCGCTTCAGATGATGTATACATCTCAATTTCGAAAAATTGACCCTTATGAATGGTTTTGTGCTCCAGGGTCACAAATGTACTCCAAATAAAAATGTTTTTTTTTTACAGTGTATGCATTGCCTTTTTTGCTTGTTTGTCTTTTTTAAAGAATTCAGTGTGCAAACCAAATTTGATATTTGTTATTAACTTTAAAGCCTGATTTTAATTGCTTTTAATCAATAAAACTTGATTCTGTCGTGGATTTTAAAGCTCTGTATCTATGTAACACTTCACGTGTTGATCAGTTTCTTAGATACAAATCTGTTGTATATTTGCAATTCTACATGCATCTTAAAATAGATGTTGCACTAAAAGCTTCCGTCATTTTGACAGGCCTTCGATCGCCCCGATGATGAACGCCCGCCGTGTCAGTCCACCCCGGGCGAGACACGACCCACGAGACAACTTCCAACTTAATTTAGGAGTGTGATTCATTAAAAACGGGCCCCGTAATGGAAGGCACGCACACCGTGCTGCGTCTGTACAAACCCATCCAGGAGCTGTGCTTCATTAGTCTCTACTTCCCAACGAGGAAGTCCCGAGGTTTCCCACGAGCTGGCCAAACCCCTCGTGAAGTCCGGCCCCGGGATGAAGACGCTAAACAAAGAGGCCAGTATTACTGCGAGGCGACAAAAGGAGCGGTCGCGCAGCTCCACTGGCTCGCCGCAGAACACCATCAGCTGCTGACGGACCTCCTGTCTTTATGCAGCGACTGCGCAGACAGGATTAAGATGGGAAACCAGGACGGGAAGCTCCTGGAAGGACATGATGTTAGCAGCAGTAACTTCACTATATCTCCGCCCGCGGAGCATAAGAGAGCAGCCTCTAGAGTTCGTAAGCTGAAGAAACTGGGTTCTAAGAAGATGGACAGCGCTGAAGAGTTCTTGCAGAGTAGGATAAAGAAGAAGGTGCAGAGTGGAGCGTCCGAGTTTTCCCCAAAGGCTCCCGGAACTCCGGTCTCCATCCGTGGCCGGGATACTACAGGATCAGACTCTTATATCAGCGTGTCCAGCGAGCCTCTTCTTCCAATGGAGGAACACTTCCAGATCGCCCACGACGGCTGGGATTTTATGGAAGAGCCTCGTTCGTTTGAGTGCGAAATGGATCTTTGTACCGAGCTGTCGGAGTTTGAACTCACTTTGGAGTACGAGAAGCCCTTGGGAAACCAACGTGGATGTGTCCTACGGGAGCTAATGGCCGTTGGGAATACCGAGGGAAACCAACAAGGCCAATCAACCTTCGGAAGTTTGGAAGTCAACCAAAGGGACCCGGAACACAACCAGGAACCCGGATCTCATTCCAGTTTGGATCAGAGCCACAACCAGCAAGATGGACAAGAAGAGCTCAAGCTCTTTACTCAGGTGAACAACGAGAAAACCCTCAACTCTAGAAGCTCTAAGCTTCATCCCTGGAGCAGAAGCCCCACATCAAGCTCTCTCTCTGGGCTCTTCAACGTGTCTTATCCTCCTGCCAACAGTCTCCAGAGCATGTCTCCTGTCTTATCACCTCTGTCTTCGCAACTTCCGAGTCCCCAAATGAACCACCGCATTGTGTTGCTGCCTGAGGAGGATGATGATGGAAATAAACGCTCCTCGAGAGACGAGCCCAAAGTCGCCACGGAGGTCATCGACAAAAACGGCAACCGTCGGACGGTCACACGTCTTGACCTGAACCTCAGCAATCACTTCAACGTGAACGGAGCCAGTGCATCGAGTGACAAGACCTCAGGTAGTTCAAACTAAAGAAGACACCCAGCAACCTTCACTGATGTTATGTAAACATTAGGACAAAACATTCTTAACTTTATTAGGATTTTATATACGTTCTCATAACAATCAACAAGTTCGGAACGTCTTTATGATGTTATTTGTACTTGAACATTCTAAGAAACGTTTTTGTAACCTTTAAATAGCATTAAAATAACGTTATATTTTGATTAAAAATTTGCAGAACATTTAAGAAACGTTTTTGTAACCTTTAAACAACGTTCTAATCACGACAAGAAAACTGGGCATTTTAATGTTCTTAGAATATTATATTTTGAGGTTAAAATAAAATTTAGAAAGCTAAAGAAGTGTTTTAGTCACCTTTGAATAACGATTTGGTCACGACAAGATGAATGGGGATTTTAACGTTCTTAGAATGTTAAAAATAAATGTTCAAATAACGTTATATTTTGGGTGAAAATAAATTAATCAAATGTTGTAAGAAATGTTTTTGTAACTTTTAAATAACGTTCTAATCACGATAAGAAAACTGGGGATTTTAATGTTTTTAAAATATTAAAAATAAACATCCAAATAACGTTATATTTTTGGGAAAAAATCTAATTAAGTAGAACGTTTAAGAAACATTTTTGTAACCTTTAAATAACGTTCTAAAGAAAACTGGGCATTTTAATGTTCTTAGAGTATTAAAATTAAATGTTCAAATGTTATATTTTGGGTAAAAATTAAATTTAGTAGAACTTTTAAGAAACATTTAATTTGCTTTTAAATAACGTTCTTATAATAACGAAAAGTGGACATATTAACGTTCTTAGAATATTGATTATGAATGTTCCAATAACGTTATATTTTGGGTAAAAACAAAATTTAGTAAAATGTTTAAGAAATGTTTTAGTCATCTTTAAATAACATTCTAATCATGACAAGAAAACTGGACATTTTAACATACTTAATAAACAAATAACATTATATTTTGGGTGAAAATAAAGTAAGTAGAACTTTGTGAGAAATGTTTTTGTAACCTTTCAATAGCGTTATAATCACAACAAGAAAACTGGACATTTCAATGTTTTAGAAACATTTCAAAATAACGTTCCCACAAGGTTTTTATAACCTAAATTATTTATTTGGGAAATGTGCTTGAGAAATCAAACTAGTAATCTCAGTTGTTCAGGTTGATACTGATTTCTCAGGCTTGTCATGTGACTCAGGACAAGAATTTCGGCCTCCCAGCCCTCTTTCCCAGAGAGCCATTATTAAATTTTCTGTGTGTGTGTGTGTGAGTGTGTGTGTGTGTGTGTTCACACATGACAGGTATATGAACCTGAAATACAGTGTCTCCTCTCTGCTTATAAGAGAAAGGGTCTGCATTGCAGAATGAGATGTATTTTATATTTCTAAATAATTATAAAAACAACAACAATAATAATTATTATTATTATAACATAAATTGTTATATTATTATATTTTCAAAAGACTACGTGAGTGCTGCTTGCTTACTGTGCTGTTCTGTTGCTATGCGGTTGCTAAGGTGTCCGGAGTAGTTTGGACCATGCTGCTGTGCGGTTGCTAGGGTGTTGCTATGTGGTTGCCAAGGTGTCCGGAGTAGTTTGGACCATGCTGCTGTGCGGTTGCTAGGGTGTTGCTAAAGTGTTCATTGTGTTTTTAGCATGCTGTTATGTGCTTGTTAGGGTGTTTTAGAGGTTGCCAGGGTATTGCTATGTGGTTGCTACGGCATTCTGAGTGGTTTTTACCATGCTGCTCTGCTGTTGCCAGGGTGTTGCTATGTGGTTTCTAAGGTGTTTGTAGTGTTTTTAGCATGCTGTTAAGAACTTGTTAGGGTGCTTGGGAGGTTGCCAGGGTATTGTTATGTGGTTGCTACGGTGTTCTGAATTATTTTTAGCATGCTGTTGCTGCAGTGTATGCGTGTTTGTAGTGCTGCAGTGCAGTTGCTAGGGTGATTGAGTGGTTGCCTGGGTGTTGCTAAGGCGTTCTGAGTGGTTTTGAGCTTGTTGCTATGCAGTTGTCTGTGTGTTTGAGTGGTTGCCAGGGTGATGCCATGTGGTCGCTAAGGTGTTCTGGGTGGTTTTTAGTGTGCTGCTGCTATGCAGTTGCTAGGGTGATTGGGTGGTTTCCAAGATGTTGCGATGTGGTTGCTAAGGTGCTATGCATTTACTAGGGTTTTCTGGGTGGTTGCCAAGTGTCTTTTAAGCCAAAAGAATTAGTTTTTTTGTGCTATTCTAAATTGCACCAACAAACCCAGTAGTAATTGTCATATAAAGTAAAGCAATAAGCCCCAAGAAGCCGTGGTTTACAGTGAATTTATAACAGCTGAGGGGCGTTGTTAGGGCCTAAAACCCACTTAGCTGTTATAAATTGCTTATTGCTTTTATAAAACGGTTATTCCATATACGTAGTAAGGTTTCACAGAACAAAACAGAGCAAATAAAGTGTAATGATATTAATAAACACAGTATTCTTCCACCAAACAATGTAGTTCCTCAGAAACAGTTGTGGTTGCTACAAAGTGGTTGCCGAGCAACACACAAACGTAAACAAAGGTGTATGTTACTTTGTAGAGTCATTTACAACAGCTTCGAACGTGGCTCAGCCAATCAGAATCAAGCACCGGAACTATCCATTTTATAAATAGAATTTAATAATGCATTAGTTTGCTCCTTTGTTTGCCAGCTACTTTTCTGCTTAATGAATATTTATTTCAAACAGAGCCATTTGATCTGATTAACAGTTTGTACTACCAACCATGCAATTTGTTGAGAAAAGGTGCACATTTACTTTTCTAATCAATTGCACTTATGGTTTTCGTCTTGCAGAAAATCTGTTAGACTTACATTAGAGCTGTATCTAGGGACAAGAATATCACAGAGACATGGAGTATATTATATCACATAATCCTCTTTATCACATCATAAGCCTTAATTACGGCTTATCTTTGACTTGTGTTGAACTAATGTGTTGAACTAATATCAGTTAGTGAACAGTTACGTCATTTGAATGGCTCTTAATGTCTTTTGTTTTGTTTCATTCTAGGAGGTCCTGCAGACAGTGCCTAAGTTCTGCTTCCCATTTGACGTTGAAAGGTAGGACGTCCTTAATGCTTCCGGAAAACAAGTTAATCGATGTGTGAATTGGAAAAATGAGGATGTTTGTTTATCCAACACGCATTCACACACACACACACACACACACAAGAGGCTGGTGTAAATGACTCACAGGGTGGAGCCGCACACCTCCTTTGCTTTTACTTCTGTTTCTAATGTCAGACCTTTCACTGAGAGGTCCATAGAAATAAAGCACCTTTATAGAAATGAAGATCTCCGGCCCCAGTAAACGATGTTTGTTTGCTTGTCTGTCCTAACTGGCATGATGGTAGACACGTCTCCTGAATAAATGTGTTCTTCTCACAGCGGTGTGTGTGTGTGTTGGCTTGTTTGCTCTTGGAAATGAAAAATGGAAAGCTCTGTTGTATAGTTTATGTGCTGTGTGAGAGGTTCACTTCCTTCCAGCTGAAGCTTTGTTGCTGCCATCTAGTGGAGATAAACTACACTGTCACCATTGGTTCAGTTCCTACAACCTTAAATGGAATGTAAATGAAATTAGTGAATGCATGGAATAGCTTTTCTGATATTTTCCAGAATTTTTACTCCGATACAAGTAAATTTGGCTTTTGAATGAATGTGAAAATGCTCAAAGTTACAGTCAACGTCTAACACAGTGTCTCCCATCAAATATAATTGAAGTTTATACTTTAATAAAAAAGATTAATTACATTTCCCCCCCTATCTGTTTGGTGGGCTGCAGAGTGTCCCAGACTCAGGTGGGCCAGAACTTCACATTTGTGCTCACAGACATTGAGAGCAAGCAGAGGTTTGGTTTCTGTCGGCTGACATCCGGCTGCAGGGTCTGCATCTGCTTGCTCAGGTAAGAGATCTTTATTGATGCTTTTTTATTCATTTATTTATTGCACTTTTTATTGAAGTGAATAATGTGCCAATTTGCGATCATATTTTCATCTGCATGAATAATGGGAGATTTCACGCTCATAATACACTATTAATATATCACAGATAGATAGAAAGTTTAATGGATTGAAGGGAAATTTCTTGAGAAATGTCATTCTTTTTGTTTTAAGGAAACAAATTCCAGATCAGTTCTAGATTCTGAAATCAAGGGATTTGAAGCAAACAATACTTCACTTTAATGAAATAATAATAAACACGGGACAGAAATGCTCTTTTTGTTTGTTTTTTAGATCATAATATATGATGGCAAATGCTTTCATATTTTCAGTCTGAGCTGTTCCACTGAGAATGGAAAGCTGGAGATTGAAGACTGTGTGTTACATAAACGATAAACCAATGTATTTAATAATACAAATGCATTTAGTAATTCAGAGCAGCTCAACTGGGACATATCACATTTTTTCCCCCTCTCCGTCTACATGGTATTGATGGACAATCGCAGGTTTATCATTGTCATGATGAGCTCCTGTCGAGATCTCTCCTCCTCCCACCCCGGCCAGGATGGCCTTTGTGTGTGTGTGTGTGTGTGTGTGT